ATCAGATGGCGGCATACTTACACATGACCTTTCGGAGCTCTGCGCGGATGTCATTGATCGGCGCTGGACCCCCTCCCTGGCACACGGAGCGGGCCAAGGGCGGCGCTCGAGGCGCCGCCAGTGGTTGCCGGCACAGATCCCAGAAATCAGTGCGGACTGATGCGAAGGCAGTGTTTGCCATTCGAGCCTCGTTGCTCATGATCTCCGCGAGGTCCTCGGGCGTCACTGCCAGCTCGTCCGAGTTGCACATCGCCCTGCCGCGGACCCTGCGGAGCAGCGTCTTCGTGACGAGCCCCATCACCAGGGTCACGGACGAGGAGACGGCGGCGTCCGTGGCCATGCCTGACAAGGACTCGTTGCGCCGGCCGATCGTATCCAATCGCCCCCCCGCCTCCTCCCCTCCCCCGTCCTCCTTCCTTGCCCGACGATATAGGAGGGGGCGATTCGGGAAGATTGGACCAACGGTCGTAACAAGGACCCCCTGCTGCCGGCAACGCTCAAACCGGGTATGCATTTGAGCAGGGTCGCCAGGCCCCATCCTGACAAGCCAGCCAGACTGATGAAGGACAGTGACCCAACAAGGTGAAGGCCAGCACTGGATGATAGGATCACGCCATAGATGGTGGCGAGCCTGATCACCATGGCGTACTGAACTGGGTACAGCACCAAGCGGGTGAGCGCGGGAATCGGGGCGGCACCGATGCCGCCTGCGGTAAGGGCGAAACCACAAATGTCTCTGATAGCAACCTGATCGAGACCTTCGAGCCAGACCTTCTGGGCAGCCGAAAATGACGTCGCGACCACACCGGGGAGGTGACCGACGGTGACCTTCACCAATTCATCCAGCCCGTAACTCTTCTTGAAACTGTCATCGTGCCTGCATTCGTTGCAAGCATATCGTCTGCGATAGGTGGAGATGCTGATATCTGGCGAGCCGCATTTCTCGCATAGCTGATTAAGCGGGCCGTGTTTTGGATCGGCCGCTACACGCACAACACTGGCTGCCCATATGCAATCTTCTTTAACTTGCCGCTCCACCTCCGCTACAAAATCCTGGTTTGCGTCGCACTTGTTCAAGACCATTATTATAGGTACCTTGTTTGTCGCCCCCGTCAAGATCTTGCCCAATTGCTCGGCCACCATCGATCACGCTGACAATCCACCAGATGGCATGCAACTGCTCAGTAATCCCACCAGCCCTTTGGGCTAAGGTAGTCTAGCGAGTTCTTGTTCCCCTCTTCCGATAAACCCTCCTTCCTTTGGGGAGGGGTACCTTCCCCCTCCCTCCCTGAGGTTTCTCGGGAGGATCTGTGATGGGTTAGAGCGTCAAAGATGGCCCAAGATGGTTCCAAGAGCGCCTCCGCTGCTCCAAGATGGCCTACAAGGCGGCTCAAGATAGCCGAAGATGATTAGAGATAGCTTCCGACATGGCCCCAAGAGGCCCGACGAGGGCCAGAAGACGGTGCCAAGTGCTCTCGGAGCCCCATCGGGACCCCCGCCAGAAGGCCAACACCCTTGAATAACGAAGGAGAATCAATGAGTTCTGCCTTCTCGCCTTTTCGCTTCCGACGCGCGTTTGAGGCCTCAGGTTTCCCCAGCATGGCCCAAGGGAGCCCCCGAGAGGGGCCCAAGATGCCCCCAGACGGCCCCAAGGGCGCCCAAGTTCGGCCCAAGAGCGTCCCAAGAGCGCCCAAGAAGGCGATGTTGATGGCTCCAGGGGGGGGGAGCAAGATTGGGGCCCCCCTCTGTTTATCGATGGCCTCCGGGATGGCCCCAAGAGGCACCGCAGGGCTCTCCAGGGAGACCTACGAGGTCTTCAAGAAGGCCTCATGGAGGGCCCCAAGACCCCCCAAAAGAGCTCCAAGAGGACCCCGAGATCCTCCAAAAGAGTCCCAAGAGGGCTCCAAGAGGCGATTTTGTGGGCTCTGTCCTCGTCCTCGTTGTCCTCCTCCTTCTCCTCGTCTTCGTCCTCGCCCGTGCCCTCATCGTCTTCCTTTTCCTTTTTATCCTCCTTCCTCGTCTTCCTCGTCGTCGTGGTCGTCGTTGTCGTCGTCGTCCTCCTCCTCCTCCTCTTCCTCCTCCTCCTCTTCCTCCTCCTCCTCCTCCTTCCCTCGCCCACGCGAGGGCCCCAGGGATGGCCCGAAGAAGCCCTCCAAGGCTACACCCTTGCTGCTCCCAGATGTCTCTGTTCACCCTGGTTGGCCACCTTGTTTCACTATGCGTGTCTCGTCCCTGATTTCCCCATCAACTCTCATGGGCAGGATTTCTGAATGGGTTTGTGTGGATACGCGAAGCGTGAAGAATTGCCGTTGGGTCGTCGACGTCGTGCAGTGAAACAGCTCGGTTCCGCTCCTCGACTAAGGCCTTCAGCTGATCCAGAGCCCCAGCATTGCCACTGAGCGTCTCGAAACCCTTGGTGTCGTAGATGTTCACGGGGCAGCTCTTCGAAGCCTAGTATAAGGAAATACCATCTGTGATCGACCGACCAGCCCCGGCAGCGGCCACGGGAATGCCGAAAGCGGCATTCACACAGCTGGACTTGCCGGAGCCGCGGTCGCCCAGAATGACGATGCGGGCACCAGACTCCACCAAGCACTCGCTTGCCTGCTTCAGTGCGGCGTCGACAATGTCCTTGGCGTGCTCGCGATGCGCCTCCCCCAAACGCTCAGTGGGCGCCGCCACCCCGCAGCAGTCACTGCGGGAACTCCCCCCCAGCGTGGGCGAAATCCCAGTCGAAGCCAATGTGTATCGAGCCTCGTCAGACAAGCGGGGCGCCAACGACGCTGTTTCGACGAACGCGCCGTGCCACTCAGGAAGCGCCAAAAGAGCACATAGATCTTTCGCGAAAATCTCTTGCAAAGTTCCTGACGACTTGCTGATCTGCCGAGTGGGGAAATCCAACACAAGGGGGGCATGCGCCACGTAAGGAGGTCCTCCGAGCTGTGCTTCCAAATCTCCCGCGGAACTGAATCTTTCGATTGCGCAGTGCAGCCTCTGACAAGCATCTAAAGCTCTTCCCTCGAGGTCATTCTCGGCCCAGTCTCTGCCGTCGCCTGCCTCGCGCCTGAGCTGCTCCTCATCGACAAGACTCTGGATAAGCATAACCTGTTGCAGCCCATTGCCGAGCCGTTCATTCGCTCCACCTTCAGCCATGAACTGCAGTAAGGCGTCATCTGCAGGTTGCAAAGACGGCGGCGCAGAGGACATGGTAACAGTCAGGCAGGCGCCCTGATCGCGGGCGCTTCCTTGCTAACCCTTGAGCCACGTACGGCTGGCTCGGGCGTGACCCCTACAGGCGGATTTGGGACACAACATAGAAACTGGGCAAACCATATCCATACATAGTCCAGCAATCGTCCCCGTACTGCTTTTTTGCCGTTTTTGCCATTGTTTACTAATCTTGAACATGCACCCTGTGGAGGGACGTGCCCGACTTGAACGCAGGGGGGGGAAGGCGGGCAGAGCTGGCAAGATCGAGGCGGGCGAAAGGCAAGGCGAGGCGACACAGCTCCACCGCACGGGGGGCACGGGGAGACCCGTGCTCGGGCGTTGGACCTGGGCTCAGCGGGACCTGGCTCAGGGATGCGTACCCGGGGGGCGCCCCCCCCCCCCCGTCCCAATCCACCAGCCGGAACTGCCGTAGTCCGAAAAGCATCAGCTGCGGCAGACCTGGTTGAGTGATTCCAATCCATGTTGTGGGCTTCGGGGGCCAACCAATAACCGGCTCCCCTTAACCGGGGTCCTGGCTATCCCCGACATGTGACACGCCCGGCGCTCCCTGAGCTCCCCCGTCGCATGTTCAGCGTGGCCATCATATGAGAATGTTCTCAGGGTGGAGGGCTGAGGGTGAAATCCATGTGGGATTCCGCACCTCGAACTTCAATCCGTCTTGCGATTCACCTCTTGCAGATTCAGGCCTCGAAAACCCATCGAAACGGCACTTCAGATTTCACCCTCTGCCCTCCACCCCAAGAAAATGCTCGGACCATGCTAACACAACCTGGCCCTCCTCTGGACAGCGCGCCTCGTGCCGCCGCACCTTCAGACTGCCCTCAATGTGTGTGCCATGTCTCGACGGTGACTCGTCGCGGAGCCAGCGGGTGCACCAGCGCGTTGACACAGGGGAACGTCAGCGAGCACACGCGCGCGATAATCAAGGTCGAGGCGGCGGCGATGGGACGGGCGAAGGCGGAGCGCGCGAGGTTTCTATGGGCCCGTCTGGGCCGCCAGCCTGGCCCGAAATCGGAGCCTTGCCTCAAACCGCAGCAGCAGTATCCCCAGGATGGCGAACATTCGGCGACCTGTCGGCGAGCGCCCGCGTGACTGGGACTGGTCGGATGCAGACGCGCTCTTCGTTAGACCAGAACCTGTGCGTGCCGCGCGGCCACATGATTGGCTGAGCATGGGGCAGGGCAAGGAGATGGAGCAGGGGCAGGGCAGGGAGATGGAAAAAGAGGAGGAGGAGGAGGAGGAGGAGGAGGAGGAGGAGGAGCTGAAGCGGCACGCGGGTGGCGGGTGGATGGGAACAAAGGGCGTGGAGGGAAGAGGGAGAGGGAAGGCCGAAGAGGGGAACAGAGGGACTGGCGAGAGCAGGGGGAGGAGGCCAAAGGGACGGAGGAAGAGGGGGGCGTGGCCTCGGGTTGGCAGATGACGTCATGCAGTCGTTCGTCGCTTGTTGGCATCGCTACTGTCCCGTCCCATTCCAGTTGGCATCAACTCCATCGATGCGTCCAAACAGATCACCTTCCTGACAACTTCCTCTGGAATGGCCAAATCAAGCCACTTCCACTACCGCTCCCCCCCAAAACTGAGAAGGAACCTTTGTTTTTTCCGGGCATTGACGTCCTCTGTAATTGGGGCCGGCTTGCGTAAAGAGCCGTGCCCTTGTCCACTCCGCTGGCACAGTTGAGGGTACCAGACTGCGGAGCCCACTGGTGGACTGCCGCTTTGCAGGTGCTCTTGTCGTCTCGCTGTTCTCGCGTCTCCTGCCTCTTGCTTCTTGCCCTCCCGCTACGCCTCAATTCTAAAGCATACTGCTGGCCCGCGGCGTCGAGCACAACAGAAACATGCGCACCTCAACCTCATGGCCGCTCTAGTCTGCCCCAGATTCCTAGAAGGACGCCACCACACACCCGTCAGAGTCCAAGAGGCCAGCAGACGCGCCCCCAGAGGGAGCGCAGAAATATATCTGAGAGGGCATGGTGGCTTCAAGTCGGTCCGAGAGCGCCCCAAGAATTCACACAGAGGGCCCCCGGACGCACGAGATCGCATGAGCTTGCGACAGATTGCTGAAGGAGCGGATGCTGTGCGTGCTTGCTGGCAGTCGCCATGCTGCACCCCAAGATGCCTCGAGATGGCTTCAGGATGGCCCGCGCAGACCCGAAATTGGCCCCAGCATCGCAACATCGCCCTGTTCTGAAGTGCCCAAGTGGGCTCCAGGATGCCCCCATCAGCCCCCGCGCCCCAGGATTACCCTTAGGTCGGGCGTGTCCCCCCCCCTACAGGCGGATTCTGGACAACAAGTTCAAAAGCACTCAAACAATATTGAAAACAATATTTAAAGATATGAAAGAATCGTCCCCGTATATTTTTCGACTATTTTTGAATACTCCTCCTGTAGAGGGACACGCTTGACTCAAGACTACCCTGAGAATGCCCAAGGTCTCTCCAGGGGCGCCCAACCGGCCCCCATATCCAGGTCGGGCGGCATGTCCTCCTGCAGGCGGATATTCTGGAAGACGGAACAATTAAACATAGTCCTTCAAACAGACAGATTTTAGAAGATAGTCAAACACCGTTTATTCATTTATATTATATATATGTATGCATGTGTAAATTTATATAAAACACTTGTCCAAACTATGTTTGGCTATTCTGGAATGCTCCTCCTGTGGAGCGACGTGCCCGACGTCAGCTTGCCTTACGAGTGCTCCCAAAGTCGCCCCCCCACGGCGCCCGGCAAAGGCCCCGATAGGCGCTTCCCGGCAGGCTCCTGGATGGCCAAGGCACGGCCCCGAGGAAGCCCCACGGGGGGCATCCACAGATTTCCACGAGCGCGTGTCTTTATTTTCTGCGATAATGGGCATTAAAGGGAGGGGGGGAAGGGGCCGGGGGGGGGGGGAATGTAACGCCTCCCCCCCGCCGTGTGCCCGATGCGCACGGCGGCAGTGCCCGGAGCGCGCTGGGTGGGGTAGGGAGGGGCGTCACGTTATAGGAGGGGGGAGGGGGGGGGAGGGGGCTATAGTGCGCATTATGCCCCAAGCAAGAAGTGAACGTTTTCTTCTTCGGCGTTTCGATTGGGCGGAAGGGGGGGGAGGGGGGGGGTTTGGTTCCCGACTTCTGCCCAATGCGACTGTTTGCAGCAGCGCGCACACTGGAGGAGACCCCACCCGCTTCAAACAGGCGCAACAAAAACCAACCAAGATCCACTCCGTGGGGGGGGAGAGAAGGTGCAAGGGCCCGCGCCGATCGGAAAAACAATGCACAAGAAAACGATCACCAAGCTGGATCCGCAGTAGGGGCCAGCAACAGATGGTGCGGCCACTCAAAGATTTCACGGCCTCGCTTTCCCTGCATCGAGGGATGGGTACTTCCACCACTTCGGAGGTCGTCTTGATGTCGGGTGTCAACTTCGATGTTCTCTTCCTCACAGATTACTTCTCAAATGTCACGGGGGGGATTGGTAATTCAACAGGGCGACGGCACGCCGGGGCGCTATCCGATTCCAGCCGATCAGCCGATCAGCCGAACAGCCGATCAGCCGATAAGCGACCGAGCAGCCGATCAGCCGATCAGCCGATCAGCCGAACCTCGGCTGATCGGCTGATCGGCTGATCGGCTCTTGCCGGCTGATCGGCTGATCGGCTGATCGGCCGCTGATCGGCTGATCGGCTGCTCGGCCGCTGATCGGCTGATCGGCTGATCAGCTGCTCTGCAGGAGGAGGAGGAGGAAGAGGAGGAGGAGGAGGAGGAGGGAGAGGAAAAGGAGGAGAAGGAGGAGAGGAAGGAGGAGGAGGAGGGAGAGGAGGAGGAGGAGCAAGAGGAAGAGGAAGAGGATAGGGAGGAGAGGGAGGGGGAGAAGGAGGAGGATATGGAGGCAGGGGGGGAGGAGGAGGACGACCAGGAGATGGAGGCAGGGGAGGAGGAGGAGGAGGAGGAGGAGGACGAGGAAGAGGAGGGGGAGGAGGAGATTGAGGCAGGGAGGCAGGGTGGCAGGGAAAGAAAGGGAGGGAGGGAAGGATAGATAGTCGTCGGCTGCTCGGTGGCTGGCCGACACGTGGGCCGTCGAAGGCTCAAGACGGCCCATGACACTAATAGAAGAAAGCGCCAGAAGGCGCTTCAGAACAAGCCCGGCCGTTTTGCCGACCCTCCCTCTGTCTCTCTCTCTCTCTCTGTTTCTCTCTCTTTCTCTCTCTCTCTCTCTTCTCCTGTCGCTCTCTCTCTCTCTCTCTCTCTCTCTCTTTCTCTCTTATCCATTGTTTCCCCTTGTCTGCCTCGCGCTGACGCTCGATTCGTTCGAACGCGGTCGCAAACTTGCCGCTGTGAAAACCAATCCATACTCATGGAGTGTATGTTTAAGGACGCTCGCATAGCGTCAAAATACACAATCTTCCCCGTGCGTAACCCCTGCGTTCCCCAAAAACCAATGTTTTTTTAACTTTTTATTGCTCCGAACGTTGCGGGTATGTTCGCGGTTGCTAACGCCATGGAGGCCGACGATGATGATGACGATGATGACGATGATGACGATGACGATGACGATGATGACGATGATGATGATGATGATGATGATGATGATGATGATGATGATGATGATGATGATGATGATGATGATGATGATCGGCTGGTCTGCGTCTGATGAGCTGATCGGCTGATCGGCCAGATCGAATAGCCCCCCCGGGCTGCAGCCACAATGTAATTCAATGTATGCCGTGGCATCCATGCTATTTCTATTTCTCCGCCCCTGCGCCCGATTCGCTTGTGAATCGAAATAGGGCCCCCAAAGTAATTGAAGCGGGCCGCTGTCATTTCCGCTGCGTTCGCTGCGGAATCCCAAATCATATCGAATGTCATCCATCGGACTTGGGAGCGGGCCTAGTTAAAACATGCTAGAATGTGCTCTTTGGAACGAGCTGACGACAGATGGAAAGGGCGGAATCACAAAAACCTCAGCAAACAGGACAGGACCAAACAAGAAACAGTGGGATCAGGAACAAGGCTGGCGAAGGAGAATGCCGAGCGCTCAGAACCGTCGCGAACAAGGACCAAACAACAAGCACGCAGAGCGCCGTGACGCCGGACCAGCCCTGAACGTGTGGGAGGGAAGAGCCATCTTTAGGTCGGGCACGTCCTCCCAGATGAGGATGTTGGAATCAACATTAAAACGAATCACACATGACCACAACAAAACCAAAGTAGTAGAAACGTCGTCCCCAGACTATGTTTTGAGTACTCTTGAAGACTCCTCCTGTAGAGGGACGTACCCGACCTCAGGCCAGATTGGAAGCTGGCGAAACTCGGGGCGTCCAAGACGGGGGGGGCACACTGCCCGGGGCAAGTGTGCACATACGAGGCTGGGGGCCACGGGGCGCATGGAGAGAAGAATCGGGGGCCAGGAACTCCAGGGAGGATGTCAGGGCAACGACATACCCCGGCGGTGGACAAGCCTCCCTTTGGCAAACCACCCTTTAGTGAAGACGGCCTAGGACCGAGACCGACGGAGCTGGACCCGCAAAAATGACGGCTGCGACGCCCTCTCGCGAACCGAAAACGGCCAATTCGCTAATCGACGTGTCAGGGTAGGAAGTCTATCAACCTCCGACGCATTGAGAGAAGAACCGGGGGCCAGGAACTCCGGGAAGATGTCAGGGCAACGACAACCCCCTCCCCCCGTCTAGAGGGAGAAGAAAGCAGCGTGGGCAGAAACTTGTGGCGCTCCACGCGGATTTCGTGGATCCGCGCTGGGCCCCCCGGATCCGCGCGGAGCGCCAGAGGTATATATTAAGGGGCCCTGGGACACACACACACACACACACACACACACACACATATATATATATATATATATATATAATACATAAATAAATGAATACATAAATAAATATATAAATGAATAAATAAATACACACAAATGAAAGGATTCCCCATATTTTCATATATTTTCTGGGTTTTTGTCTTCCCGCCCAATTCCCATATTTTCCCACATTTTCAACGGAGTCGAAGATTAATTAATGGTGTCTGTGTGTTTTTCCCCCTCCTAAATATAGCGAAGCCGTTCTTTCTTCCTCGAGCTTCGCGATCACCCCCCTCTTGGCCGCCGTCGAGATCCGAAGAGGGGATCCGGTGAAAAGGCAGCCCGCGATCGCCAGGACGCAGGGTCGAGCTTCGGGAGACCGGGGGGAGAGAGGGCCGGCGGAGCAAACTACGCAGAAGCGCGAGCGCCAGGACACGAGGTCGAGCGGGAAAAGTGGGGGACGGAGGGAGGGGGAGGAGGGAGGAGGAGGGAGGAGGAGGCACGAGGATTAGAAGGCACGATTATCGAGAGAAGGAGGAGGGAGGAGGAGGGAGGAGGAGGGAGGAGGACGGAGGACGGAGGAGGGACACGATGTCGAGCGGGAGAAGTTCAAGGGGCCCAGGGACACACACAAGTAAAGACACACAAATACAAGGATTCCCTATATTGTCCCATGTTTTCGGGGTTTCTGTCTTTCCCCCCACTTCCCATATTTTCCAATATTTTCCTTGGAATCGACGACTAATTGTATTTACAAGGGAAAAGATCAAGGGGCCCAGGGACACACACAAGTAAAGACACACAAAGAAAAAGGATCCCCCATATTTTCCCCATATCTTCAGGGGTTTTCGTCTTCCCACCCACGTCCCATCTTTTCCCATATTTTCCTGGCAATCGACGGTTATTAATTGTGTCTGTGTGTTTTTTCCCCTCCTGAAGAAATAAGCAGAAGCGCCAGCGCCAGGACACGATGTCGGGCAGGAACAGTGGGGGACAGGGCTGCAAGGCCGGCGGCGGAAGCTGGCGAGCCCCCGGAGGGGGGCAGGTCCCTTGGGGAGCAGAAGACAGAGCCCCTTCGGTGCTCTGAGAATTGATTCAACGAGATCAAACGAGATGTGAATGTTTCTCCACTGGACTCGGGTCTCTCCAGAACTACTGGAGAGCAGCAGTCAGACGCTATGCTAAGCTGCTGGGCCTGGGGCGCGGTAAGCGCCACCCTGATCCAAAATGCCTACTGCCGGGCATGGGGGGAGTCTGAAAACCAGGGCAGGACGCCAAAAATGTTACGACGGATTTGGCAGAACACGCACTGCTTGATGAACACGTGCAACACATGCAGAAACTCTTGCTCCGCGTGTCGCGGCGGCGGCCCCGGCGACACGCTAGGCCTTGCAAGACAGCGCGCCGCTCCGCTCCGCATGGCGGGAGGCTGGGGATCTCGGTAAAGGCTCGGGACGTCAGCGTGTCGCGCGACACGCTGAGCAAACGCTCCTGACCGTGATGAACTCCTGCAACTCTGATCGGACCCAGGGGAGGAGGAGGAGGAGTAGGAGGAGGAGGAGGAGGAGAAGGAGGAGGAGGAGGAGGAGGAGGAGGAGGAGGAGGAGGAGAGGGACGAGGAGGAGGAGGAGGACGAGGAGGAGGAGGAGGAGGAGGAGGAGGAGGAGGAGGGGAGAGGAGGAGGAGAGGAGGAGGAGGAAGGAGAGGGACGAGGAGGAGGAGGAGGAGGAGGAGGAGGAGGAGGAGGAGGAGGAGGAGGAGGAGGAGAGGGACGAGGAGGAGGAGGAGGAGGAGAGGGACGAGGAGGAGGAGGAGGAGGAGGAGGAGGAGGAGGAGGAGGAGGAGGAGGAGTCGGCCCTGGCCGCTGCCGGACCGATTCCTCTCAGTGAGACGCCCGCGATGCGGCGCCCGTCGCGCGTGCCGCTGCAGATGTTGTTTTGTCCTCCAGAAGCGGCAGGCAGGGCAGCGGGTCGTGCGGACCGCGGCCGAGGGGCCGGGGCCCCTGGGACCCCGCCCGCTGCCGCTGCATACAGGGCAGCTTTTGATACATGGGATGTTTAAAAGTACAGGATTCTTAATACATGATCAACTTATGAATTAAGTGATGCATGAACTCATCGTTATTTCTGATACTAAATCCCTGCATGTTTAACACATGATCCTTACTCGGAGCATGTATTAAAAACGGCACTGTATCTGGGACCAGACTATATCAACATTGAAAATATTCCGCCGGCAACGCCTCTCACAGCAGCTTCGCAGCGCCTGTGTCCAGTATCCAAGTGGAGTCCTCCTGCGGGTGTAAGGCCTGCGCAGGGAAGGATGCTCCGTTGTCGCCCGCGTCCTCCTTCAGGGCCTTGACCAGGGCCTCCGCCTTCTTCTCACCCAGGGCAAGAACAACCACCTCCTTCGCCGCGTTCATCACCGGGAGTGACAGGGTGATCGAGGGCGGCTTGCCATCCTGCTCCACATGCAAGACGTACGCATCGCGTCTGCTGATTTCCGAGCGGTTTGGGTACAACGATCCTATATGTCCGTCGGAGCCCATGCCCAGAGCCAACACGTCGAACACCGGGGTACCCTCCTCGTTTCGCGGCAAGATCTCGGACGGCAGGCTCAAAATCTTCTTCTCGTACGCCGCGGCTTCGTGGACGCCGTCAGCGGACCCGCCTGGCGCAATGATGTTCTCGCGAGGCAGCCCGACCTTGTCCGCGAAGATCTCCAGCGCCTTGCGGTGGTTCGACGCGGCGTCGTCCAGCGGCACGCACTTGTGGTTGACGTACACCAACACAACCTTTGCAGGAAAGGAACGATGCATAGACAGTTTAATACTTGTGGAGGTCCGCACGGACTGTTAGGATCTGAGCTGGAACCCCGCTCCCTGGCGCGCGGAGCTCGCCATGGGCGGCGCCAAGGGCGCCGCCCGGGGGGTCTGGCGCAGATCCAAGAGACCCACGTGGAACTCCGAAATATTATACGGTGTCACTATTTTCGGGGAGACGCAAGACTCGGGTACGGGGGACTCGGGTTGGCCCGACGGGGCCATCATAAAAATGACGAGGCCAAATCGGAAACTTGACGCGAGCTCCCGCTGCAAACGGCAAACGTCCCACGAAAACCGGACCGTCACAATCCACGACGCGCTCGTCAGAAAAGGTCGATAAACCCCAGTTCTGGCTTACTCGAATCTCGGGGGCGCGCAAACATGGATTAGCGATCCATGGATTTGGCGCGCGGTCGCTAAATGCATGGATCGGGGGAGGTGCGCTACCCAAAACGCGGCCGGTGCCGCCTCGTTCGGCGGCGGAAATCCGCGATGTCCCATGGAACCGGGACCCATCGCTAATCCACGTCCCCTTGATCCAAGTTTGCGATCGCCTGAGAGTCTTACGTTTCCCTAATTCTTTTTTGTCCTGCTCCGAACCTTCTTCCACTCCACGCTCACCAGCTTCCCCCCGTGGACCGCCTCGGCCAGCCCGCCCATCATGGCCAGGACCGAGCCGCCCGGCAGCGCCAGAGAGGCGTGGCCCCTCCACCCGATCGCCTCGGCCAGCGCGTCGGCGATGCGCCGGCAGGCGAGGTTGATGGGCCCATGTTCCACCACCGCTACCATATGCAGGAGAGGGAGGAGGGGGAGGAGGGGAAGAGGAGGAGGAGGAGGAGGAGGAGGAGGAGGAGGAGGAGGAGGACCTCCTCATCCTCCCCCATCCCCCGTCCTGCACGTGGCAGCGGTGGTGGAACATCCGCCCATCAAGAGGTCCTGCACGGCCGCCGCGTCGGCCACGATGAGCACGTCGTGGTCGCGGAGGCCGCCGCCGAAGACCTGCGGCCCCTCGGGCGGCGCGGGGTCGAAGTCCGGGCTGCTCATGCGCTCCGAGGCCTTCACGCGCGCGGGCAGCCGAGACCGCCGCGCGGCGGCCGCCGCGCCGCCCGCGGCCGCCGCCGCCGCGGCCCACCGCCGCCCCGCGCCTGCGCCGGCGCCGCGCCCGGTGCAGCGGAGGCCTGCCGCGGCGCCGGGCCGCCTCGCGGCGAGGGGTGCCCTCGAGCGTGTGCGCAGAACGCTTGCTGGGCGAATGCAAACAAAAGCAAAGGGGCGATCTCAGAAAGAAGTTTTGACTGTGCCACAGAGGCCCGTGCCTCGGACTCGCTCAAAGCCTCTCGCTCCCTTTGCATTCCTTCACGCAGCGTTCTACGCATGCCGCCTTGCTGCGAGCGGTGCCCTGAAGCACTGCCCCGGCAGGGGCTGCGCCGACGCTGCCGCGGCCGCGGTCGCGACCACCGCGGCCACTGGGCAGCGGTGCGCCCGTCGATCAGGCGCCATGGCGCGCGCCTCGGCGCCGGGGCCCAGAGTTGCGCAGGCTCCACTGGTAGCAGCCCGAGCCGCGGCCTCGGAGGTGGGTCTTGCACTGGAGGCTCGGCCTCTCCGCGGCGCGGAGAGGCCGAGAGTGGAGGCCCGCGCTCACGAGAGTGGAGGGCACTGCGCTGGGCGCCTCTGCGGCTGGCACGCTCGGCGTCCGCCGCAGGCGGGGCGTACACAACTCAAATGGAGGAGGAGGAGGAGAAGGAGGAGGAGGAGGAGGAGGAGGAGGAGGAGGAGGAGGAGGAGGAAGGAAAGGGGAGGATGAGGAGGATGAGGAGGAGGAGGAGGAGGAGGAGGAGGAGGAGGAGGAGGAGGAAGGAGGAGGGGAGGAGGAGGAGGAGGAGGAGGAGGAGGAGAAGCAGCAAGGGGAGGAGGAGGAGGAGGAGGAGGAGGAGGAGCAGCAGGGGGAGGAGGGGGAGGAGGAGGAGGAGGAGGGGGAGGAGGAGCAGCAGGGGGAGGAGGGGGAGGAGGAGGACGCGCTACGCTGCAGCCGCTTCCCCATCCCCGAGCGTCCCCGCCCCGAGGGCCCGTCCGAGTCCTCCCCCGCCCCGCGGAGCAGAGCGGCACGATCGCCACTCGCGGGACCACCGCCGCCGCGACACGCTGTCCCCCAAACTCCCGACCGTGCAAGCATCAGACCCCCGACGTCATGTTTTTTTGTTCATTGCGTCGACCCCCAGGGGTCTCGCCCCGTTCCCTTGGACCGGTCTTTCACCCCGAGCCGTTTTTGGACGGCCCCGAGGCCCGGCAAGGGCCCCCAGGGGCCGAACATGGAGAACAACCTCCCGCCGTGATGTTCTCATTTCTCGAGGGGGTCTGGGATCATGCCATAGCTGCGACCACTGACAGGGAGCACGATGGCGGGCTTTCTGCTGCGGCCACGGCCAGCCCCCCCCCTCGCGAAGGGGCTCCGTCCGAGGAGAACGGCCCGGCAACACCAGAGCCCATCCTGAGGCCGAGGCAGTCTTTCTCGTCGGCGTTCTCTTGCTCGGCGCTTCGACAGTGGGTGGAAGGGGGGGGGTCTGGCTCCGGACCTCTGCTTCTTTCGGGGGCGCGCGAACATGGATTAGCGATCCATGGATTTGGAGCGTGGTCGCCAAATCCATGGATCGGGGGAGGTGCCCTCCCCAAACGCGGCTGGTGTCGCCTCGCTCGGCGGCGGAACTCCGCGATTGCCCATGGAAACGGGACCCGTCGCTAATCCACACCCCCTTGATCCATATTTGCGATCGCCTGATGAATGCGACTGTTTGCGACAGTGCGTCCGATGGGGGAGACTCCACCTATCCACGCCCCCTTGATCCATGCTTGCGATTGCCTGATTCATGCGACTGTTTGCGACAGTGCGTCCGCTGGGGGAGTCTCCGGCTGCTCGAAACAAGCGCCAAGAAACAGCCAGGATCTACTCTTAGGTCGGGCGCGTCCCCCTACAGGCCGATTTTGGACGAATAATGAAAAATAGCCCAAACATAAATTTTCCAAAATATGCAAAAAATGTAAAACATCGTCCCCCGACTATTTGTTGTACTATTTTTGAATATTCCCCCTGTAGAGGGACAGGCACGACTTACATCTGCTCCATGGGGGGGAAGGGGGTGCGATGGCCCGCGCCGATCGACAAAACGATGCATAGAAACGATAACTTTTCAGCGTTTTGACTGTTGATGGGTCTGTTTTCCACCACCACCACCACCAGAAGTTGGAGGGGGGAAGGAGGAGGAGGAGGAGGAGGAGGAGGAGGAGGAGGAGGAGGACGACGACGAGGAGGAGACGAGGAGGAGGTGGAGGAGGAGGAGGAGGTGGAGGAGGAGGAAGAGGAGGAAGTGGAGGAGGAGGAGGAGGAGGAGGAGGACCCCCTCCCCCTCAAACTTATGGTGGTGGTGGTGGTGGAAAACAAGCCCATCAAATGAATAAAAAACAATCACTGTTCAGCGTCTTGACCGTGCCCCCCCCCTCGGCAGCACCTCTCCTCCCTGCCCCTCCTTGCGCCGTCCCCCGGCGCCGACGCCTGCCCGGAGCTGACCCGACGTGGCCCCTTGACGCCAGCATCCTCCCTCGTTGCACGAGCCTGACGGTCTCGGTGCCGTCCCCTTCCTACCTTTTGTTCTTCGGCAGGCCGTCGAGCTCGTCGGAGCTCGTAGCATCAGAGCCCCTCCCTCTCTTGGCTCCCCTCCTCCCCTCGCCCCCCGCACGCGGCGAGGGGCGGAGGGGATCGGATCGATCGGCCGCTGGTGAGGTAGCCGACTTGCGTACCTGGCGTCACGAGCTCACATGCTACGGAAGCATGCGTCGCCGTGTTCTTCTGGTAAGGCAGGAACCGTACCGACACCGCTACTCCGTGGAGCCCTCCCGGGATGCCTCCTGACCAGAGTGCTGACGAGAACCCAGCCGTGGCCACGAGGGCTCCAGTGGATGAGCAGCGGCATCGGCACGGTAGAGGGAAACAACTACTGACCCCCCCCCTCCCCCCCAAATTCAAAGTTGGCACGCGCGGGGAGGACTGCGGTCGAGGTGCAACTCATCAGGCAATCTTGAACTTTGGGGGGCGGAGGAGGCGTTGACAGATGAATGTGGCATGAGTGTTCTCTATTTTTCCGAGGCCTGCATCTCTGCCTCTGGCGCTGGCTGCCGCTCCCCGCCACACTTGCCAACGTGGTTCGCCACGGCCGCCCACCACGCTCTGGCCCTACGCGCCTGGCTGCTGCTGCCCGTCCGGCTGCTCATCGTCGAACTCTTCGGCGTCTGAGCGTCCCTCCTTCCTCTCGGCCGTCCCCCTCCCCTCTTTGCACGCCGGCCAATTCGCCAGTTCGTGCCCCTATTCTAGCTTCACGCTGGAGCGGAGTTAGCCGCCTCGCCGCTGACCAAAAAAGTATCTCTGCACCTCTGAGTTCCTGGCTTCCTAGGCCTTGTCCTCTCCATGGGCGAAAAATAAGAAATACTCAAAACATATACCCAAATAGTCAAACATATTCCAAAAATCGTCCCCGGACTATTTTTTGACTATTTTTGAATATCCCCCCTTCAGAGGGACGCGCCCGACTTAGCCTTGTCCTCGCCATGGCCCGCGAGCGCCCCCTCCCCCTCCGCCGAAGGCCCGCGGGACCGCCCGCGGCCGCAGCCCCGCCCCCGGCCACGGCCTCGCACCCCCCACGGCCCCAGGCAGCCACGCCAGCCACGCGGCCCTGCAGCCCCTCTGCGAAGGTCGGATCCCAGGAGGAGGAGGAGGAGGAGGAGGAGGAGGAGGAGGAGGAGGAGGAGGAGGAGGAGGAGGAGGAGGAGGGAGGAGATGGAGAAGAAGGGAGGAGGTGGAGGAGGAGGGAGTAGGAGGAGGGAGGAAGGAGGAGCAGGTGGGCGGAGGAGGGGGGAGGCTCATCTGGCCCACGCTGACGTGGGCTGCGGACCCGTGGACCTGGCGCGAGGGGGCGCCACACTCCGCGCATCGGGGGAAGACGCGCCCCCGTGAAACAGGATGATCATGCCGCCCGAGTTCAAATTGGCGACGCAGCGCAGAGATTCTGTACGGCGGGTTCGTGTCGTGACGACCCCGGCGTTGGTTTCCGACATCGCGTGGATCGTTCAACCTTGAACGATCGGCGGCTTGTCGTTTGCGAGATCGTTCCATATTGGGCCGATGCTGGGCCACCGGCGGCGTTCAACCTTGAACGCCCGCGGCGGGGTCGCGGCGAGTCGACACGACGCGAACCTACCGCACGGAAGAGGGACCCATCGCAGATCCACGCGCCTCGATCCATGTTTGCGCTCGGTGGCAGCTCATGGGAGAGCCTCCCAAACCATCCTGTAAGCTCTGGCAAATGGACGCGAATCGACGCTAGTCGACACTAGATCGTCGCTGATCGGCGCGAAAGAACACTAGATCGGCGCTACCCCATCGTCTACCAAACGCTGATCGACGCCAGTGCATTTCAAAAACGGAACTACGAGGGTATACATCTCTTCAAAACGTAGACCCAACACCACAGGATGATTGGGGAAAAAAACAAGGTGCGAACCCCGAAGCGGGCACTTCAATTTAAATATGCAATGGTGACCGGAGGGGGGATCACCAAAGCATATTCAAAACAATTGTAACTCAACCAAAACAACACCAACCACAATAATAACAACAA